CTTTACCAGTAGTGGAAAAACAATTTGATGGTGGATTTCTTGTCAGCAACCATAGAGGCCATAAGGAAGTGGCTTACTTTTCAAGTGCTGAAGGAAATGAACTATCAGCTCAGAATTCTCTATCAAGGGAAAACATCTTTCACGTGATCTGTCACCAGCAGACCTACCTCTCTAGAATAGGTAGAGGAAGTTCTGTAAACAGAATGGAAACGATATAAAGCAATGTGGGAACACCAGGAAGGAAGAACGAACAATGGCAAGAACAAACTTTGGTAAATTCTATAGACGCTCCTCTTCTGTTTGGAGGTTGAAGTGTAGCGCTTTGATGTTCTCTGTGTATGTAGAGGAAGTATTTCACTTGACTGTTACAAATGGGGAAGTGTGAAGAGACAGGAAGGTGAGGTTTCTGTACATGACCACGAACTGGTAGAATGTTGAGAATCAGTAGACTGTGATAGTTGTGAAAATAAACTACCTAGGGGTGCCTGGGTGGCTCAGTTGGTTAAACATCCAACTCCTGATTTTGTTTCAGGTCATGATCTCATGATTTGTGAGTTTGAGCCCCACGTTGGGCTCTGCGCTGATGGCATGGGGCCTGCTTGTGATTCTCTCCCTCTCTCTGCTCCTTCCCTGCTCGTACTGTTTCTCCGAAAATAAAGAAACAAAATACCTAGAGCAGTCACTAAAGAAAGTTATACGTAAGTAGGGCTTATTCCACGCATGTAAAATTGGATTAGTATTTGAAAATCATCAGTATAATTCATCTGTTAACAGACTAAAGAAAATCCACACCATTAAGTGATGCAGAAAACACAGATGACAAAATTCAACACTCATTCATGACACTCCCAGGAGGGCAGCCTTCTCATTTTGGTAGACAAAATCTACAGTCAACCTACAGCTAGCATCATACTTAATGGCCATAAACAGAGTGTTTTTACTTTGAGGTCAAAACAAAACAGGATGTTTGTTGTCACTGTTTACAACATAATACTGGGATTCCTAGCCAGATCAATAAGAAAAAGAAATAACGGTCTGTGGATCAGAAAGGAAGGAATAAAACTGTCTTTTTTTTTTTCTTCAGATGATATAGTAGTCTACATAGAAAATGCCAAAGAGTCTACAAAAACTCTCCTGAAATCAATGAGTTCAACAATAGTGTAGGATACCAGCAATTAACACAAAATGGAAATAAAAATACAATGTTATTTAAAATTACTCAGAAAATAAAAACACAAACTTCAGTGTAAATTTGAAAAGACATATGTAGGACTTTTATGTGGAAGTCTACAAAACTGAGGGAAGAAAAGATGATCTAAATAAACTGAGACATATACTGTATTCACAGATTGGAAGGCTCAACATGATAAAGATGCCACTTCTCTCCAAATTGATGAGCAGATTAAACAGAATTCCTATTAAAATTCCATGAAGATTTTTGTAGATATGGGAAGGATTATTCCAAGTTTATATGGTAAGGGCAAAAGAACTAGAATAGCTAAGACAGTTTTGAAAAAAAACGATAGTAATCACTAAATGATTTCAAGACAGCATGGTAGTCACGACTGTGTTGTCGGCAGGGGAGCCTGCCTGGCCCAGGCAATGGAGCATCTGAATCTTGATCTCACGGTTGTGGTTTGAGCCCCATGTTAGGTGTAGAGATAAATAAATAAAACTTAAAAAACCACTACAACAACTTACTGGCAGAGAGAGAGATCTATAGATCAGATGAACAGAATAGAGAACCAAGAAATAATCCCACCTGTGTATAGCCCATCGATTTTTGAGCAAGATGTCAAACTTTCTCAATTCAGTGTAAGATGGATAGTCTTCAACATGTGCTCAAATAATTGGATACCAGCAAAAACAAGAAAATCCAAAACAAAAATAGCCCTGGATCTAAACTTTGCACCTTAAAAATATCAACCCAGAGTAGCCTGTAAATTTATTTATTTATTTTTTTTAATTTGTTTTTCAACGTTTTTATTTATTTATGGGACAGAGACAGAGCATGAACGGGGGAGGGGCAGAGAGAGAGGGAGACACAGAATCGGAAACAGGCTCCAGGCTCCGAGCCATCAGCCCAGAGCCTGACGCGGGGCTCGAACTCACGGACCGTGAGATCGTGACCTGGCTGAAGTCGGACGCTTATCCGACTGCGCCACCCAGGTGCCCTGTAAATTTAAATATAAACTATACAACTATAATTTTAAGAAGAAAACAAAATTTTTAGGAGGTAGGATTGATAAAAAGTATTTAGACATGATTCTAAATGTATGATCTATAGGAGAAAGCTAATTGACCAATGGGATTTCTTCAGAATTTAAAGGTTTTGCTTTGTGAAAAACCCGGTGGGGATAAAAAACAAATTACAAAAAAAAAAAAAAAAGTTACAGATTGGGAGAAACTATTGGCAACACACATACCTGATGCATAACTCATGAAGAATATTTGAAGAACTCTCAAATCTCAGCAGTAAAATCCCAAAGTCCTATTAAATGGGCAAAAGATGCGAGGAGACATTTTACTGAGAAAGATGTTTAGATTGCACACAAGCACAGGAAAAGATGTGCAGTATCACCAGCCACTGGGGAAGTGTGAATGAAGACCGTAACAAGATAGTGCACGCCTACCAGAGCCGCTAAAATTAAACACAGTGACCATACTAAATGAGGATGCAGAGGATAGAATGTCCTGTATTGCTGATGGGAATATAAGAGATTATAACTGCTTTGGAGAATGGTTTGGTGGTTTCTTAAAAATACTAAGCATGGTTAAACATCAAGTTACTGCAGTTCCATTCCTATGGGTGTACACAGAGAAATGAAAACACAAATGCACACCAAACCTACACGTTATCATTTATAGTGGCATTATTCATAATAACCCGCAAATGGAAACAACCAAATGTCCGTCAACTGTTAATAAGATGTGGTGTGTCCGTACAGTGGAATATTTGGCAATAAAAAGGAATAAATTACCAACACATGCTATAACATGGGTGGACCTTGGCTAAGTGAAAAAAGCTAATCATGATAGATTAGGCCGCATATTGTAGGAACCCATTTATATGAAATGGACAGAACAGGCCAATTTATGTACAAAGTAGATTAGTGGTTGCCCAGGGCTGAATGTGGGGAATGAATTATATGATGTGTGAGTTAATATCTCAAAATTTTTTAAAAAACTAAACATACATCAATCATATGTCCCAGAAATCTCACTCGTGGGCATTTATCCAAAAGAAATGGAAACTTACATTCACACAAAAACCTGTATGTTATTGTTCATAGTAGCTTTATTTATAATAGTAAGAAACTGGAAAGAACTAAATTTTTTTTGAAACAGATGAATGGTTACATTATAGTACCTCCGTGCTGTGGAATACTACCCAGCAATCAGAAGGAAGTAACAGTTGGTACAGGTAACAACTTGCGTGGATCTCCAGAGCATGAAGCTCAAAACTTGAAGAGGCACATACTCTGCTTGTGTTCCTAGGACATTCTCAAATGACAGAGGAGATGGATGGCTCTGCGGGAGAGCTTGAGAAAAAAGTGGACACTTGGAACCTTTCTTACAAAGTGAGGCAGAGATGGAGAGGGTCAAAGACGTTGTCAGTAAAGAAGGGAGGTCCACGAATATCTTAAAATTACATAAACTAATAGATATACTGGGAGGAGGAGGGATCTGTAAGAACACAAAATGAGCAGGTCATGTTCTAAACACAAGTTACAGTTGAAGAAAGAAACATCATGTGTGAATAAATATATTACTTAAAATTAAGTAACAGGGTTGTGATATTGGGAGGGGGAATCAGTAACAGGAAACAAGTAGATAATGCCCAAAGTGGGTAAGTGGAAATGTTTATATTATGTAGAAATTTGAATGATGTCCAGATTTGTGCTGTCTTATGGCAGCCCCGAGCAGGTGAGCATGTGAGGTGTGGCTGATTCCCTTTGAGACTGCACCCGGGGGTTCCTGGGCGGCCCTGTCGGTTAAGCATCTCCAACTTCGGCTCAGGTTATGATCTCATGGTTCGTGAGTTCGAGCCCCGCGTCGGGCTCTGTGCTGATAGCTCAGAGCCTAGAGCCTACTTCAGATTTTGTGTGTCCCTCCCTCTCTGTCCCTCCCCCTGCTTACACTCTGTCTCTGTGTCTCAAAAATAAATAAATGTTGAAAAAAAATTTGTTTTGAAGATGCAGCACCCAAATGGAAATACCTGTTAGTGTTTTTTATGTTGCCTAAAGTGATAGTGGTCTATTTATTTTTGTAATTAAAATTTTTTATTTTAGAGGGAGAGTGAGCACTAGCAGGGGAGAGGGACGTGTGGCGGTGGGGAGAGAGAGAGAGACCCACCGAACCAAGCAGGCTCCATGCTCAGTGCAGAGCCTGATGAGGGGCTCAATCCCACAACCCTGGGATCATGATCTGAGCCTAAACCAAGGGTGGGACGCTTAACCAACTACACCGCCCAGGCGCTCCTCAAGTGATAGTATTTTAAACATAGTTGGCTAAATAAATCATCAAAAATGATTTCACCTGTTTTTACTTTTTCTTAACGTGGCTACTAGAAAATTTACAGTTAAGGCATGTGGCCTGTGTTGTATTTCTCTTGGACAGATTGGTCTAGAATCTGTAGTCTAGAACATGTGATTAGAATTGGTTCTCTCTGGGGAGTAGGCAGAGGCTGGGGAAAGTTGGTTAAGGGAGAATTGTTTAAGCCTGTCTTTGCTATTTGATTTTTTTTTTAAACTTAATGAAACTTGATAAAAAATTACCTCATTAACAAAGGCTGTGGCCTCTGTCTTAAAACACATTACTTTGTCACGTTGTAAATTACATGGTAAATATTACCATAGTAGAGAGATTTGGAATTGAAAGTAACAGTGGTCTACTATTTTCCTTCATTCCAGTTTGTCATATCAGAAATAAAGTCCTTGCTTTTCCTGCTCTTGTTCAGCTTATTGCAGGAGCGACTGGGACATCACCTTCTAGAAGTAATGCCCACAGAAAGCGGGAGTTGCTCCACTGCTCGCCAAGCAAAACAGAAACGCAAATCTCATAGCCTTTCTATACGAAGAACGAACAGCTCGGAGCAGGAGAGGACGGGTCTGCCAAGAGAAATGTTAGAAGGACAAGTGAGTTGGTTGCTGATCGTGTTTTCAATGTTCCAGAAATAGTCAAATACATACAGGTCTCCAGAGTAGAGAAAAAGAGTGTGTTACCAAAACAACACAGAACCAGCTCCCCTTCCCTCAATAACCGGGAAAAACAGCGGTGATACATAACAGCCTGCACAGAGACACGGGTGGCTAGTGTGACTGAGGAATTTTTAAAATTTTCCTTGATTTACGTCTAAATTTAAATAACCACACTTGGCTGCTGGCTACCGTATTGGACAGTGCAGGTAAACGGTCTAGGATACGTTTTTTAATTTGATTTACTTATATCTCTAGTGGTGAAAATCCTGCAGTCAACTTTGTTAGCGTCTTCTGGAGTTCACTCGTCGGGGGTAAATATGTTCTTTGCTTGGCCTTCTGAGTGCCCATCCTCCATTGTGATGTAGATCAAGCAGGTAACTGCATCTCAGGGTGACCCTTTGTGGGGCTTTTCAGAGTCCGCAAGCTGACCGGTCCGGCTGCTGCACCGTGGGGCCCTCGCCTCGGTGGCTTCAGCAGTCACCAGACGGCACCTGCCTGTTGGCACGGCTTCCCCGCCGGCCAGTGTGAGGTGCGCGGGCTGGTGCCGCGGCAGGGTTGCCAGCAGCTGGCATGGTAGGTGTGGGTGGAGGGATCTGCGAACCGTGGGCCAGTTACCCGTGGATTCTATTGGGACGGTGGCCCTGCACTTTGTGGACGAGGTTACGCCTATTTGGGAGCAGTACCAGACAGCGCAAAGGTAGCGTGAACGTGCTGCGGTGGTACTTGTACCTTCTCAGAGCTGTGAACGTGGGGCGTGTAGGAGTGCGGCGCTCGGCCCAGGCCCGCGGGGCGCGTAGGAGTGCGGCAGGCCCGCGGGGCCCCGGTTGTGGAGCGTGGCTGAGTCTGCATGTGCCCGGGAGCGAGGCCTCCCGCACCCGTGATTGTGCTGATGTGATGGAGTGACGTGCACGTGAGAGCCTTGCTCAGTCACAGTAGCTTTTCTGTCCTCACGTTTCTGAAATGGTCCCCGCAGTTCAGCACCTCTCCGTCGGGGTCCGTGAAGACGAATGGCACCAGTAGGCCGTCGGGGGCACTCCCGTGGCTCCGCCTGCCTGGTGGGAACGTTCTTGTTTCACTGCCCGTTTCGCTTCCTGATTGTAGGGTGAGGCTGTCGCTGCCATCCCAGTTTTGTCTCCAGTGGCAATGACATTCGACGTTAAGACGCGTTTAGTACTCAAGTAAATGTGATGTTTTGGTTGTTGAACGGTAAAGATCTTAAGGGACTGTGGGTATAGGTGAGCAGGACTCGATGCACGTAGATGTGGCCTTGGTGTGGGAGTCAGAACGGCTTCTCACCAAGTGCCGGTGCGAAGGGGACCGGCCGCACGAGGGTGTGGGAGGAGCGTGGCACGGAGATGGAAGAGCGGATGCGAAGGCCACGAGGCAAGGTGGACGGCGTGGCAAATGCTACTGTCGTGGTTTATTTTACTTTCACTGTTATTTCAAAATCTTATTTTTATTTTTCATATTTTTCATTGGTATTTTAGAAGGGTGTTGAGGGAGGCCATAGTACCCATTTTGCCAAATTTCAGTTTTTAAACATGGCTTCGTATATAGTTTTTATTGGCTTGTCAAATTTACTGGAACATTATGTGATTTCAAAACATATTGCTGAAATGTTTATGTCATTAGAGATCATTTTTGCTTAGAATTTCTGTCTTCCTGAGAACTTAATCTGAGAAGTTTAATTTATTTTTTTTATTTTATTTTTTTTTTTAATTTTTTTCAACGTTTTTTTATTTATTTTTACGAGAGAGCCAGCATGAACGGGGAGGGGGGCAGGTGAGTAGGGAGACACAGAATCGAACAGGCTCCAGGCTCCCGGAAGTCATCAAATTGGTGAGCCCGACGCTGGGCTCAACTCACGCGGACACGCCGAGATCGCATCTGCTGAAGTCGGACGCTTAACCGACTGCGCCACCCAGGCGCCCCTGAGAAGTTTAATTTAATAAATATCGTATGTCCTTTTTTTTATTTGCAACTGACTAAACATCAGAAAGTTTGTGCTGCACGGAAACTTGAAAAGTCACTTAACATTGGTGGCAATTAAGTACTGAAACATTTTAGAACCATTACGAGTTCCGTTCTGGAAATACTCTGAGTGTGGGGTCACACGAACTAGCATGTCAGGCGTGCTCTCTGGAGAGGAGAGTAGTGTAGACTGTGCGGGCTCCCCACGACCGGCAGCGTCCAGAAAGTGCGTGTGTGTGAGCATGGGTGGGGCTGGGGACGCCGCCCAGTCACTTGTACCTCAGACTTCTGCAGAGGCGTTGCTTCTGCTCATGGACTTCCCATGAGGCGTAGAGGAGACTCCAGCTGTGCAGAACACGGGGGCAGGCGTGCAGGCACGCGTGGCGTGGTGCTCCTGACACTCACCACATGGATGTTCTCCTGTAACAGACACCGTTTGCTCTTACCGGTCAGATTTCTCATGTTTCCCTCCTCACAGTCTTGTAGGTGTTAGGAGATGTCCAGGATTTTGTCTGAAGCACCGTGGATGGGAGAGCTCTCTAAAAGCTCTTCTGTTAGTAGGTGGCTTATTAAGATTAATTTATAATGTCACACGGTAGAACTTTAAAGACTGTGCATGATGAAACTGCATTTATGGGAACTGTCTTCTTTCTCTACAAATGTGGAGGTTTTTGAATAAGGTAGGCTTGTTTCCTCCCTTGTAAAAGGGAAAATTACGTTATTTTGAGGAAGTGCTTGTTCTTGAATCCTGTATCATGCTGGATAGCCATTTATATCATTTCATCATAGTTTCGTACGTAGAAATGTGGAACTGTGAGTTCTGTAAGCATTTTACGTATAAGAAATAATATATAAAATAAGAATTTAAGAGAAATGAGAATTCGCTTTGGAAAAGAGTTTCTTATTCATTCATTTTAAACAGAATCTTCCTTTTTTTTCTTCAGGATTCTAAGCTGCCTTCCTCGGTTCGCAGTACACTTTTGGAGCTGTTTGGTCAAATAGAGAGAGAGTTTGAAAACCTTTACATTGAGAACTTAGAATGTGAGTATCTTCTGTCCTAATAAGCTTTTGTAAAATTTTGGGTAGATGGTCACCACTGTATCCATTTTGTGTTCTGTAACACACATAGTGGCTTCGAGTGACCCAGATTGATTACCTTACAAGTCACCGGTGGGAACTATGGGGGGCCCCTCCCAGCAGACTCAGGTCAAGGCCTTGGCAGGGCTGTGCTTCTGGAGGTGAGGGGGAGGGGTCTGTCTTTTGCTTGTTTGAACTGTGGCATTTTCAGTTCTGTGCATCGTGAGGACAGAGTCCCGGTGTCTAGAGCCCACCTCACCCCTTGCCTCAAAGCCCTTCCACCGTCCGTCTTCGAAGCCTTCAGTGGTGAGCATCTCTGAGCCATTCCTAAGGACGTGAGGGAAGGCTGGGTCATCGGGCCAGGCAGGGTGACCTCCCCGTCAGAGGTCCCTCGCTGTAGTCACACCTGCAGGGCCCCTTAGCCATAGGGCTCACGTGCTCACAGGTTACCTTTGGGGTGGGTAGCATTCTGCTGGCCACACTAGCTCATTCAGATGGTGGTTTTATGAAAAACAAATGCTTCTTATAACTCTCCCTATACAAAGTATACTGTAAATCGAGAAATTATTGATTCATGTTTTCCTTTAAAATATACTGTATTTTGAGAATTTCTTAGTATTATCTGTTTGACTTATTTTAAAGGTCAATCAGAAGTATCTATTTATCTATTATTTGTTTATTTTGGAGAGAGAGAGCGTGTGCGCACGAGCTGGGGAGGGGCAGAAAGAATATCCCAAGCAGGCTCTGCACTGTGAACACATGGCCTGACGTGGGGCTCCAACTCATGAACCGGAAGATGGTGATCTGAGTCGAAACCAACAGGAGTTGGACGTTTAACCTACTGACCACCCAGACGCCCCAAATCAAAATAGTTTTTAAATTAGCTTGGCTTTAGTTTTTATTCTTAGATTTTTTTTATAGAAGCAGTGCCTTCATTTGCTTAAAGAATCAAGCAGTGTAGGGGATTCTGGCTGGCTCCGTTGGTTGAGCGTCTGATTTCGACTCAGGTCATGATCTCCCGGTTCTTGGGTTTGAGCCATGTTTTGGGCTCGGTGCTGACAGTGCGGAGCCTGCTTGGGATTCTCTCTCTCTCTTTATGCTCCTACCCCACTTGAGCTCTCTCTTTCTCTTTCAAAAATAAACTTAAAAAAAAGATTCTGTGGGGCGCCTGGGTGGTGTAGTCGGTTAAGCGTCCGACTTCAGCCAGGTCACGATCTCGCCGTCCGTGAGTTCGAGCCCCGCGTCGGGCTCTGGGCTGATGGCTCAGAGCCTGGAGCCTGTTTCCGATTCTGTGTCTCCCTCTCTCTCTGCCCCTCCCCCGTTCATGCTCTGTCTCTCTCTGTAAAAAAAAAAAAAAAAGATTCTGTGTCTCGCTCACTCTCTTCCTCTGCCCCTCTCCTCTGCTTATTCTCTCTTCTCTCTTAAATAAAAAAGTATCAGTTGTAATGATCAAAGCATTATTGAGTTTCTGTTGTGATGTAAGGCCTTATTAATATTTTATGAACTCATGTAGTTTGTTCAAGAAAAACTGTAGGATTACAAATGACTACTGCTGGATGTACTTTGAGTTGACACAGTCTCGTGCTGCCTGGCTTTGGTGGCGCCCTGCCTCTGTAAGATCTGCTCAGAGCCTTTGCCCTTACCCTCTCTGTCACCTGACCCGGCCCCTTCGTCTCACCATAGCCTGAGTAGAGGGTACATCGTCCTGGCAGGTGCACAGCCTGGCTTGTAGGGGGGTGTGTGGCCAGGTCATGGTCCTGCTGCCTCGCTGTAGTGGCTTGTGCCCTCGGCTGAATCCTGTTCCTTGGCCACGTGTCATTCCTCAACGTTGTGGCTGGAAGACAGCCCTGGTCCCGCAGACCTGTTCCGGAGGAGAGCATAGGGACAGGTGTCTGCTGATCGCCTTCTTGATGACCGATGACCTTCCTCTTCATTCTTTCCCTGTGGTTCTGAGACTTTTGTGACTCTCCTTCAATTTTTTTCAAACTAATTCTTTTTTTTCTTTAATTCTTTTTTTAATGTCTATTTATTTTGAGAGAGAGAGAACGAACGTGAGTGGGGGAGGGGCACAGAGAGAAGGAGACAATTCTTCAGCAGGCTCCAGGCTCTGAGCTGCCAGCACAGAGCCTGATGCAGGGCTCAAACCCACGAACTGCGACATCATGACCCGAGCCAAAGTCGGACGCTTAACCAGCTGACCCACCCAAGCGCACCAGATTTTTAATCTTTGTTACATATAATCCTTACTTGGCACTCTGTGGTCCCACGCAGCCATAGTTATGTTTTGTTGTATGCTTTTCCTCCCAATTTCAGTGTTCTCGGCTAGACTGTAAACATTTCACTGAATTTTGGATAGTATCAGGAAAATGTTTTTAAGTGTATAGAATAAAGGACAAAGGAGATGGCCTACCTTGAGGTCCAGGAGCCCTGCCCGCGAGCCCTGGGGGCGCAGTCTTCCCAGTGTAGGGAGAGCAGTGGTTCTCAGTGTGTGAGAGGTGTCGCAAGTATTTTGAGAAGTCTGCGAACCTAATGTTAGGGTATTATTCATGTCTGTGTTTAGATAATACTTACACATAATATTTTTACACCCTCAAGTTTTGGAAGCGGTGAATATGTTTCAACATAAAAGTTCATGTCTTACCTTTTTGAAAAAACCTTTTTATTCCCAGTGCGTAGGGAGATTGAGACTCTTAATGAACGTTTAGCTGCTGAAGGACAAGCGATCGATGGGGCGGAACTGAGTAAGGGCCAGCTCAAAACAAAAGGTAAGGGTGAGCGCTCCCGACAGGACTGCCGACACGTGACATGTGGGGGAGATTTGGGATTTCATGAAGGACGTGGGTTTGTTTGCTTGCTGCAGTCAGCAGTGCTTGGGGCCCGTAGTCAGGTGTGGGTGGGGGCCGGTGAGGCGGAGAGGGGTGCCAGGAAGCTTGGCGTCTTGTTCCAGCTGTGCTGTCACCTCCATGCCAGCGTGGACAGATGGACCCTCGGGTTTCACTGTCTTCCCGTTGGCAGTGAGAGGTGGGGTTTGCTGTCCAGTCTGTCCTGGCTCTGACATTCTGCGGCCCTGACTGTCGATTCTCTGTCTCTGCAGCCAGCCACAGCACCAGCCAGCTTTCTCAGAAGCTGAAGACCACTTACAAGGCCTCCACCAGCAAGGTACGCAAGGCGCTGGCTCTCGGGCCGCTCATGTGGTATTTGAGGTGTGCGGACGTGTACCTGAAGTTGCATATTTTCCAATTATAAACATGTAACAGAGAAAGAGGAACTTCTGCTGTTTAGAAAACTTTGATTTTTAAAGGGAATATCCTAGATCTGTGAGATGGCCACAGCATATGGACACCTAGACACTCCCTTGCCCCGGTTCCTGTGAGAGTAAAAGATACGCGTTAGTAGCTACGGTGTCTTTTTGGAGGGAAAATACATTTTGTATTGTTATTTGGCTTGATACAGAGGCTCTGAATTTGGAGAAAGGTAATGGAGTAATGCAGTGCACCACAGGCACGTTTTCCGCCACCCACTGTTTTTCTCTCATTTTCTGAGCATTATCCAGATGTGAGGGTCTTGTCTCCAGGGCAGATAGGGACGTATGTGGTATTTTACTTCTTTAAAAATAATCTTGTTCTGACCTTCTTAAAGTGGCAAGGATTTAATTATTTGGGAATAAGTTTGTCTGTGAGGGAGTACTGCCGTGAAGTAATATTTTGAAGTAATTCTGTGTGCGTTTTTACTTTGAAGTATTTTGAATATACAGAAGATAAATTAGTTACCCAGCCTTAATGAATGTACATTCCTTTTGCTAAACCTGAGGGAAAAGTTGAAATTTGTGGTGAGTCTGCTGTGATGGCATAGTTACTGTCAACTCTGTTTTTCCAGTTCGTCCCTTTGAGCTTCAAGTTATGTAGCATGACATCCCCAGCGAGATTAACTACAAGTAATAAAGCAGATCCAGTCTTGCTGCTGTTTCTGCTTATTGGAAAACTTTGTTATTTAAAAAATACAAACATTGATTACATTTTCTTGTGTTTCCTTTGATAACTCCAGAGTATAAGTGCTTAGTTAAAAAAATTTTGTTGTTATGTATTATCTAGCTTATTAGTTTCTAAGTTTTTAATAAATTTAGAAATTTTCTTCGAAATAAATTTAGAAGTTTTCTTCGAAATGTATTGTGAGACTATGTTCTTGCTCGTCTTAACTTCTTGTTATATTATCTTAAATTATATTGTTTATTCTTGTGGACACAGCTTATGTGTACAATGTATATGGTCTTAGAATTCAGAAACTTTCTGACCATTTCTGAAGTAGAAGATGAACAGATTGTATAAAGTTGTCCCTTACTAGGAATAGTAAAATACAAGATTTGGACAAAGGGAAGGTTATATACAATAATACTCTGCTTTAAAAAAAAAAAAATGTATTAGATATAAAGTGCCCTTTGTTTTAGATACTAGAAACTTATCTCAGTGTATGAGAAACATATTAATGATCTTTATTGTGCACGTTGAAGAATAATAACGTAAGATGTTACCTGAAGGTTGAAGAATGAATCTGATCCCAGAATACATTCTGATCCGTGCCATAGTGTGTATTCTTGGCAGTAACACTGAGCGTGTGTGCAGCAAGGAGGCCTCGTTACTTGCCTCCTGACTCAGCCCTGAAAGGCAAGTAGTGTGTACGTGGTGGGATGGTGGGAAACGCACGTGTGTTCAGCAACCAAGAGGTCTTCCCTTCCTGGGTGGCTGAGGACAGGTCGCTGGTGTCTGTCAGGAGGGATGCCTGACCGTCTAACGTTAGAGAAACTTGTGAAAATGTTCACACGTGTTTTTACAAAGATAAATAGTTCGCATTGTGAAAAAGACCTTTCTGGTCTTGTTGGAGTAGTTTAGATTGTATGTTAATGAGAACGATAATTAGGGCGACAGGTGTAAGCATCACTTTGTCATTTTGTTGTGCTTCTCTGTCATGAACACTGAGTAATTCAGTCTTTTGTGGGGCCTCTTCGCAGTAGTGAAGGGGTCAGCATTTTTAAAAACAAAGAGTTAATAGGTATTCAGAGCGTAGTGGGCATTTGGAAGCAACACGTGACGTGATTTGTACGGTGTTGATGAGCTGCATGTGCTCTGCTTCCAGAATTCCGCCAGAAATGCGGTTGCCATGAGTATTGAGCGGTGACCTTGTGTGGTTCCTGTCCGAGCGGGGTGGGTGAGGGAGGAGTGTGGTTCCACTAGTTCATTTCTCCTCACAGTGACGTCTGTGTCACACACAGCAGGAGGCTTGGAAACTGAACCGTACTGCCACTTCCTGTGGGGCAAGCTGTGCACGTTCCTAACCGCTGCGTTCTTGAACATCCGAATGGCACCTTGCGCCAGCAAAAGCCCTTTTCTGTGTTGGGAGGGACGGTTCTGCTAGTGTGGGTGGGGGAGGGGCTTTCAGAAGGAAAAAGAAGACGAGGAGTTTGCGTTTGTGCAAGTCCTTTGGTAAAATGCAGACCGAGTCAGATGGAGCCTGTCGGTATTACTGCCGGAAGAGTCCGTCTTCATAAACATTTCTAGTCGCTCTCTGCAGCAGAGGATGGTTTGAACGTTCATACCCGAATTGATGGAACAGTGGACTGTGTTGTAATGTGTTTATACTAAATAAGAATGAACTTTGATTCATTTTCAGGGCTTCGCCAAATCCGTGTTCCAAATAGCTGTTTAACACCACTGATTTTTCTTTTTCGTTTGATTTTACAGTGTCATTATTCTGATTAATCTCCATTATTCTGATTTGCTTAAAAGCTGAAAAGCCATTCCTTTTCTCTGAGAACAGTTTAAAAAGCAAACTCTGAAGAGTTGTTTGTGTTTAATTAGTTTCTTGCTCACACACTTTCTATTTTTCCTTGTAAGAGAAAGTGAGACTTGTTTGCCGTGTGTATCGTACGAGACGATGCCTCACCTCGTGTGCACCTTTGTGGTTCTCCTGTCTGTTCCCGTCAGACTGTGAGCTGCCCGAGGCCAGGGCCTGCTGTCGCTCTGTGTGTGTCTCCTGGCGCAGCGCCGGCACCGAGCACGCGCGCAATAAACACTGTTGGACAAACCTCATCTGTTAGAAGTGTCGTCTTTGGATTCCTCCCCACCTTGGGCTCTTTTCCTCCTGATAATACGTGGTCGGTGTAAATTACCAAAAATGGGAAAAAATGAAAGTTCCCCAGTAATAAAAGGTAGTGTTAAGGGTGTGGGTATACCTTCCTGACTTCTTCACTTCTTCATGTCCTGGTAGCTTTTTTTTTTTTTTTTTAAAGAATTTGGAAATTTTGTCTGCTGGTTTGGATTTGTGGAAGACACTCGCAGTGTGTAAATAGGCCCCTCTTCTTCATCACGGGAGGACACACGTGGTTTGTGGGGGGTCGGGGGTCTTCTGAGAGGCCTTAGGACGGCCTTCGTTGTTGCTTTGTGACACCCAGCTGGAGGGATGCTGCTGTTTGCGCTTTTGTTGTGTGCCCTTAATGCTTTAAATATCCTGTTCAGGGGTGTATGACGTTCAACACATCTTTTTCCGTTTTACCTTTTTTAACTTAAAAACATTCGGTCAGTAAATCGTCCGCAATGCTCCTTCCCGTCACGATTTTAGATCGTCTCCAGCTTCAAGACCACCACGTCGAGGGCCGTGTGCCAGCTCGTGAAGGAGTACATTGGCCACAGGGATGGCATCTGGGACGTCAGCGTGGCGAGGACACAGCCCGTGGTGCTGGGCACCGCGTCTGCCGGTAAGTCCACAGCCAGTCGCTCTGCTTGTCGGGCGTGACAGCCGGTGCAGATGACTCCCTGCGGGGTGGGTGGCAGAGTTGGCGCTGGAAGCCGGCCGGAGGCCGAACAGTCCTTGAAACCAAAGCACTTGGCCTTGTTGTGCTCCGTCAGGCCTTGCTGCTGTCAGCAGGTGTGATGTCAGGTGTCTGGGTGAGCAGGTGCTGGCTCCGTGGTTGCGCCACCTGTGTTTACGGCAGCATAAGGTAGAATATCTTTTGAACAGGCGAGGTACTTTCTTGTTACAGTCGAGCGTGTGTCTGCTTGAGTTGTGAGGTACGGCCCAGGGAAGGGCTGTGTGGTCTCTGAAGCGGGCTAGCTGTTCTAGGATTTAGGTGGAGGCAGGGGTGCTGGCAGCCCTTTTAACCTGTGGGACTCCCGGGGCCGGTGTTAGAGACCCTTTTCTCTCATTAAAGAAAAGATAGGTTTTGAAAGCTATCCAAGGTGCCTAACCTAATAATACCCTTTCCGACCAAAATTACTGAAGTTAAAAATGGTGCCCACTTATTGAAAATGATTTTTCCAGGTACTTAGTGGATTGTGCTTTTTTTTTTTTTTTCTTCTTTAAGTTAGTTTTGAGAGAGAGAGTGGGGGGAGGGACAACCACAGAGAGGGAGAAAGGATCTGAAGCAGGCTGTGTGCTGATAGCAGAGAGCCCAATGCCGGCCTTGAAATCATGAACCTCAGATCATGACCTGAGCCGAAGTCGGACACTCAACTGACTGAGCCACCCAGGTGCCCCACTAGATTCTGCTTTGTTTTGTTTTTGAAAAAGTTTATTTATTTATTTAGAGAGAGTGAGTGAGAGGCAGAGAGAGAAGGAGAGAGAATCCCAAGCGGGCTCCATGCTGTCAACACAGAGCCTGATATGGGGCTTGATCCCACAAACTGTGAGATCATGACCTGAGCCGAGATCAAGAATCAGAAGATTAATTGACTGAGCCACCCGGGTGCCCCTGATCTGCTTTTTAATAGAAGTAGAAAATTTTACAGCAGATAGAACCATGAATGAAGAAAGTTGACTTGTTTAAAATTATGTTCACTTGTGAGCACTCCCCAGTGTTTTAGAAATTCCCTTACAGTTAAAAAGAAAGAATGAAAGGGCCTGTTTCTGGTATCTCTGAGATCTTGTTTAGATAATTGACATTTATTTTTCAGATTTTCTGTTGTGTAAGAGGAAAGGCCCAAACGCATACATATGACCTCAAATAATTTGTAACTGGAGTTTTGCATTTATTTACTGTGTGATGGTCTGGAAAGTGTTAATTCAACAAAACAGTGAAGCTGTGATGGGTTGGTTAGAAGGACCCTGGCGAGGTGCAGTCAGTGTGACCATGTGCCATGAGTCCCAAGTCCCTGGGTATCTGTTTGCCACCCCCTTGACCTGGGACAGGTCACCCAGTTCTCCTGTCTTGGAAACGTGGTTTCTGATCTACAGTCGGAAGAGATGCTAGTGGTAATGTAACTTCTCACTTTCATTTGAAGACTGTAGAATTGGTGGTGGGTCAGTCACTCCTGTTCTTTGGATCTTGCAGATCACACGGCCCTGCTGTGGAGCATAGAGACAGGGCGGTGCCTCGTCAAGTACTCAGGCCACGTGGGGTCAGGTGAGTGCTCCGGGGCGGGCTGTGCCTTGTGCTGGGAGGGCACTGACCTGGCTGCCTGCCGGGCGGGCCCTCGCGACGGGCGGACGGGTGTGCCGCCTCTGGCAGGGAGCCTCAGGAAGGGACCGCTCCGCTGCCCTGCACGCAGAGCAGGACCTGTCTGCGCTTCGTGGCCTAGAAAGCCACCTGTCGACAGCTTTGCAACTGAAGTGTGGACGTCGTCTGCGATCGTGTACTCGTTTTAGAGGTTCTCTTTCGGCGTGTGCTCTGCGCGTGTCAGGGCCCAGGGAGGGATGCCGTGTATCCCGGGCTTCCTGCCGCACCTCCCGTTGCCGCCGGTACGGCCGCTCGTCCCCTCCTGTGAGCCGCCCCTGCACGCTCCCTTGTGTCCTGCCGCGTCTCTCTCACTTCCCTCCGGGTGCCCGCTGTGCTTCCCTCCTCCTGGCACGCCCTCCACTCCGGTGCCTGTCGGCTGCTTCCTCATTCACTCTCCCCTGCCCAGCCACCGCCGCACCCCTGCCCTTCATAGACAGCCCGGGTGTGCCTGCCCTCTGCTTCTTGGGCTTGGGTGCCAGCCCTTCCCTGGGTGGGGGACTCATCTTGTCCTGTCTAGGCTGTGACCCATGCTTTCCCCTTTTTTGGGGTCTCGTTCCCACGGGGTCCCTCAGCACACGAGTGTCTTCAGTCCGCTGCAGGATGGTGCCCAGGCGGGGGAGGCAGTGCTCACGGCGCAGGGAGCCACTGTGGCTTGTTTCCTCCACATGTTTATTCCTTGAAAGCGTTTGTAAAACGAAACACGTGCACAAAATCGGAAAATTCAGAGGGTATTAGCCAGCCCGTGTAGACAGTTACAGCACTTTGCTCCCTGCCCTCTTTACTCCATTTCACTTCCCTGAAGGGAACCACTGTCGACAGCTTTACGTATTCTGCTCTTTTCTTTCATTTTTCAAGTAGTCTCTACCCCATTGTGGGGCTCAAACTCACGACCCTGAGATCAGGAGTCACACGTTCCTCCAACAGAGCCAGCCGGGCACGCCTTCATTCTGTTTTTCGAAATAGCCTATTTTATTATTTCTGAGTGTTGGAGTGTTAGACAGGTGCTTCCTCCTGCTGGAAGGAGGGCCGTCTCCCTTGCCTCGGATGAGATCCTCCACTCTTGTCCTCACCAAGTGGTGACAGCACAATTCTCATCACTCGTGGCTATGTGTGTATTGGTCACAGCTGCTTGTGACGTGCCTTGTTTTTTCTTCCGCCTGGTTTCTGCATCCATCCCTGACTCATCCCTGTGCTCCTGTGTGACGTGCCTTTCTGGTGGCCATACTCGGTGCGGCATCTCTGTTCCTTTGTTGTCCCTTCCCTGGAGCTTCCCCTCTCGCTGGATGGCCTGGACGCCCAGCTCTTCACCGGCCACTCTGTGCACCTCTCTCCCGTGTCCTCTTGCCCCAACACGTGGGGTGCACACCGCCCTGGGCGTCAGGAGGCCGGGTGACGGGAGGTGGAGCGCTGATGTCTGGCCTTCCCTTCTGGGGTGCTGTCCTCACAGACACCGTGTCTGCATTGCTCGTGTCCTGGCTTTGGTCTTTCCACTAGGTGGTGTTGCGATGACGTGGCCAAGGTCCCGTTAGCCTGAAGGGAGTGGTTCTCCCCACCTGGGATTTCTATGAGCATAGCTCACTGCAGGTGGTTTGCCGTGTCTGTCCTGCCTCGTTCCGGCATCACCTGAACAGAGGACCCTCCTGTGCCTCGTCCCCTCTGCCTCAAGAGTCACGTGCTGGGCTTCGTGGCTGCCCCTGCCCGACCCCCAAGTAGAGCCCTCTTGTGCGGGGGATGGTGCTTCTTCCTGTTTGTTGTTCTTTTATGTTTGTGGTAAAGTTAGGCACACAAACCATTTAAAGATCGGGTGCCTCTGAAGCTTGCTGTGGAGAACATTGGTCTCTGGTGGCCTCTCCCTTTCTGCTCCTGGTGTGGCCTCTGGGAATTGAGTTAGCCGCGTGTTGGGGGTGCTGCGCATCTTTGGAGAAGGTGCTGGCGGGGCTCACCTTCCTGTTCTGCCTCAGCCACGGCCAGCAGACCCTCTGCCGGGGGACGGGGCGCAGTTTGGCTGCAGGCCGCCCCCTGCCGGGTGGCACCTGTGCGCACGTGCAGGCCCGTCCCCATTCAGTGGCGCCGTCCCTTTGGTGAGCTGGTGCACAGTGTGCATGTTGCAGCTGCGACAGTCGTGAAGCGCCCGCTGTGTGCTGGGTTCCCGGCCGAGTGCTCCGCACGTGCTCTTTCACAAAGCGTGTGTCACGGCTGTGAGGGCCACCTGTGGCACTGGTGGCGCGTTCAGGTTTGCACGGACGTCGAGGTGAGAGGTGGCCATGGAGCTTGCCACTTGCTCCTGGCCCTAGGGGCATCCTGCCGTGTGTGCGTGTGTGTGTGTGTGTGCGCGTGTGTGTGTGTGTGCGCGTGCGTGCGCACAGGGTCATGACAGCTTATTGCCGGTCCTGAGGAGGCTGTGGTGTCCACCTGCTCCTCCCACACTTACCCGCAGTCTACACTCGCT